TATATATATATATATACAGATAGTATTGGTAGTTACTTAGGCCCCTATATTCGCCCCTTTTCTTCTTCTCTTCGGATGCTTGAAGCACGTGGCAGCCCTGGCTGAACTGACCGCCGTGGTTTGCATCCTGGGATCAAAGCAGGCTTGCACAAGACGCGTATCGTGAAGGGTTTACTTCCAGTCCGAATCAGGTCTACCAGCTTCTGTGATAGGGGGTTTTAATAGTTAGATTACGGTTTTAGGGCATATATTATGTAAAAGTACAACATAATACCATGCTAATTTGGCAGCCTTCCATAGTGATCCGCTCGCTTCAACATGACATCTGCAGCCCTCTCCGGTGGATCACAGAGATGACCCACGCTGAACGTAAGGAAGCATGACCATAAGTTGGGGATGGTTTAGGTCCTGATCCAGCACTATTTAGACGAGTGTGAAGAAGGCTGGCAGCCTACAGCAGCTTTAGAAGACTAATCGGGAAGATCTGCCTTTGAAACGGCATTTACATCTACACGGGCTAGATCATACTTTGTACATGCACGGCTTCTGTTTATTAGAGCGACCCCAATCCACAGAACAAAAAAAACAGTGAGCCTCGGAGTCAACTTGAGTAGACCCATGTAACAACGAACCGAAATTCCTGAACGCCCTGAACTCAGGACTGAATCCCGCCAAGAAAGCAATTGCACAACTAACCAAGCCAAAAGACCCCCCAAGTTACGATGGCGCCGTCGCTGCGCACAGCCGCAAAAGCTGCATGCGAAGGGCAGATCTGCCTCAGGCTTGTCACTGCCACACAAAGTAGGGTTTAAGGTTTAGGGTTTAGGGCCGAAGCTGCAGGCAGAAAAGCGGCTGTGGGGTTCAGCAGCCATGAGCCTGTAGGGCTTAACCTAACCCTTGAACACTGACCCGTCTACATCCTGGAACCTAAAGGTCGATTCCGGTAGGGTTTTAGGGTCTTGGTGATTGGGATATCCACAGCCTGAGGTTAGGAAACCCTAAACCCTAAATTACTAAACCCAATATACATCCTAACCACTGAACCCTATTTATGCCCCGAACCCAATTATGAACCCTAAACCCTTTCTTCAACCCTAAACCCTAAACCCAATATAAACCCTAAACCCCATGTAAACCCTAAACCCTAAAGCCTAACCCCTATATAAACCCTCAGCCCTACATAGGCCCTAAACCCGAGATACACCTGTAAACCCAAACCCTTTCTTAAACCCCAACCCTAAACCCTATAAGCCCCAAAAAAAAACCCAAAACGCGACACAGCTTGCGTTCAATTCGTACTTCGCTGTTGAATTTAGAGAGGGGCCTCCGGCCAGAGCCCTTCGGTTTCTAGGCTTGGGGCTTAGGGTGTACCCATAGGCTCCTTAGTAGTTCCTTTTTGGGATTACCTTATGGGATTCTCAATATAAACCACAAAAAGGAACTACTTAGGAGCCTATGGGTAGGATGGTCTAGGCTGAGGCGGTTTAGGATGACTGGGGGACGGGGTTTGGGGGAAAAGTGTTAGGGGCTTCAGGGTTTAGGGGGTTTAGGGTGTGGGGTTGGGGAGTTTAGGGTATCCTGGGTTTCGGGGTTTAAAGCTCTTAGGCATTGGGGTTTATGCTTCAGGGACTTGGGACAAACTAATACGTAGGACATGATTCTCCGGCATGTTGAATTCAACATGAAGACAATAGGAACCATATTATAACCTATAGCGCTTCAGATCTCTATACCCATAGGCCCCTAAGTAGCTCCTTTTTATGGTTTATATTTAGAATCCTATAAGGTAATCCCATAGGGGCCTATCGGTATCAGCTATTGAGCCCAGCATCTGCACTGCGTAGAGCTCGGCGCGGACACTGCTGCTGTCTCCTGCGCATGACAAAACGGTGGTACATGGTTGGACATAACTACCCATAGGCTCCGTAGAAGCTCCTTTTGGGGATTACCTTATAGGATTCTCAATATAAACCACAAAAAAGGAACTCACAAAAGGAACTACTTAGAGCCTATGGGTACCCTATAGGGGAGCATCTCAGGAATGAAGGTCTGCAAAGCAGACGCTATGGATCTTCCAAGGGATGGAGAAAAAAAAGCCGCTAACACCTAATTCCCACGCTGTCAAACGCTAGACCCTCAAGCCTTAGCAAGCGGAACAGGGTCCAGGGCTATCTTGTTAGGTAGCCCTCGGGAAGCACACTATCAATTGTTGAGGTCACTGTGTTAAGCCCCTGGAACATGACAGGAACCCAAAACGTCCCTCTTGGAGGGGACCCATAGCCCCAAATGTATGGTCCTCATGGTCGCATGTGCTCTTCTTTTGCGGGGAGCAAGACCCCCTTAGTAAGGACCCTTCTATCATTTATGGCAAACCCCTGAATGAGGGGTGCGAGACTTCAGAATCCAAGCCCTAAAAACCTCCAGCACTGCAATAGCGTCACCCGCGTCTCAAGAGCCCTTATAGGCCCCTCAAACCCTTAAAACATTGTTGCAAAGTCCATGCAAGCCCTAAGCCCGGAACTCAGACCCTCGTTGAACCCCCAAACCCTGGGCCCCATCTATAGAACTGTAGCACACTCCCTGTACTAAAACTTTTGGGATCTAACCCTAACCCTACATCCTAAACCCTCAACCCCAAACCCTAACTAACCTTAAACCCTATAAACCCTCAACCCCATACCCTAATTAACCTTAAACCCTATAAACCCTCAACCCCATACCCTAATTGACCTTAAAACCCTTTAAGCCCTAAACCCCGGAGCCTGCCTCCAGCGCCCTCGGCGCCCCAGGTGACCACCGAGCCATCCGCCTTCAGCGCAGCGAAAGCCAACCTTCGCGTGTTTTCGGGGTCCTTTGTTTTCAGGGGATCTAAGGCCACGGTTTAGGGTTTATAGGGTTTAGGGTTTAGGGTTTAGGGGGGTTTATAGGGTTTGGGGTTTATAGGGCTTGTTCAGAATAGGCTTTAAAAAGCTTTTCAGGATTTTTTGTTCAGGATTTTAACAGAATAGAAGGGCTACTTTCGGGTTTTTCTAGGGGTTTCTAGGTTGTTTAGTGTTCCAATAACAGGGTTTTACAAGGGTGCCTTCGGGGTTTAAGATTGTTTTTATTTTTATAAGGGTCCGGGTCCTCTGAGGGTTATTATGTAAAAGCCATGGTTTTATCAGGTTCCAGAGGTAGGAGCGGTTTATACTGGGTCGATGATAAGGGCTCTAGAAGGGGGATTTACAGTTTTAGGGGCTGCGGTGGCTTCGAGATTGTGGGCCCGAAGGATTTGGAATGTGACTCTTAGTGCATTCCCGGCTGAAGACCTTGGGGTTTAGCCTTCCTGCTTCAAGGCTTTCGGATTTTGTCATAGGGACCCCAAGTAGGCGGTAAGGGAAACTTCCTTAAAGAGGCCTCGTATAGGTCCTCATCACAGGTAGTACTCCCCTAAATCCTAAACCCTCAACCCTATCCCCTTATCATCCTCACGATTTTGGGGGATAACTTGAAGGCTTTCGGCTTCAGGCGAAAGGCATCGAGGTCCGATGAAGACTGAGGGCTTTCGGGCGTAGAGTTCAGGGTTTAGGGGTTTCGGGGTTAGAGGTTTAGGGTTTAGGGTTCAAGGTTCGGGGTTTAGGGTTCAGGGTGCAGCGTTCAGGAGGATCTAGGTCAGCTGCACCAAGCCTCAGAAGTGAAGGACGAATCCTGCACCACATTCTTTCCGACTAGACTTTGAAGCTCCATGTTTTGGAACGGCACACTTGGCTTTCTAAAGGGGAAGTTCCTGCCAACATCCTCCAGAAGCATGAACAAAGGAACCGAGAATTGAAACAGTCAAGACTCTGATTGGCAAACACCTCCTGCAAGCAGGGTTTAGGGTTTAGGGCTTTAGGGCTTTAGGGTTTAGGGTTCAGGGTTTAAGGCTTAGGGTTTTAGGGCAGGGAAGCTTCGAACCATGTCAACTCCGGAAGTTGTTTCGTGTTGGGCAGTCGCTGAGTCGTTGAACCTGTCGTGTGATCCGGTATTGCCGGTCTGCTTGTTGCTGCAACACCATCCTTTTGCGCCAGTGCGTTGTGCCTTGGTGGCATGGTTACAACATGCTCAGGATTGTTGGAATCACTGCAACTCAAGAAAAGAACAGGTGAACAGGATGCTGCCTCGTGTAAAAACGGAGAAGATCACCCAACCGATTTGCTTATTGGGAGCCGTCCTACTTCTGGGCTTTACTACAAGGTAAACTATCTCTGGAGCGCCGCTGCTAGGAGCACTCCGTGCTCTCGCGACCACCTCCCAACCCTTCCATCCCTTCCATGTGCCATTCCAGAGGCGCCATGCCGTGTCAAAAACTCTTACACCGATGTCTAGTCCAGCGGCCTAGATAAAGGGCTACAGGGTCGAGGGCGATCGGTTTGACAGCAAGATTTCGCCGAACATGTCAATCGGAGGGCGGACCCCGACTGGATGCAGTAGATGCTGCAGGCGCGACAGTCAGACGGGCTCTTCCGTGCAGAAACTCCGCTGCAACTTGCTACCAGAAGTGACAGCTGAAACGCAAGTGAAATGCGCAGAATGTTCCAGAATTTGTCCCGCTGCTGTCCTCCACCTGAAGCAGCTCGTCCTGAACCTCACGACTGTCCTGGTCTCGTGAGTCGCGGCGTTTCAGTGGGATCTGGGACGGTTTAGGGGCTGAGAGTTGGGGTCCAGGATCCATCGCTGACCTCGGGAGCCCCCTAGCCTTGCTTGATCCGAAGATGCAGGCGGCGTAGACAGTAAGCTAGACTTAGAACCTGTCGTCATGTTGGCTGGATCTTTTACCACGCACAAATCCACAAACTAGAAAGCGACGAAGCTAAACCCAAAACGCACCTGAACTATGAACCCTCCGCTGCAAAACATACTGAACTAAAGCCCCAAACTTATCCTGAACTCGAACTCAAGACCCAAATCTCAACCCTTCGAGACCCCAAATGGCGACCCTAAACTGACCCTAAACCATCAAGACTAAATATCCACGGCCTAGCCTCTTACATGCGAGCTACTTCATAGTGTCTAAGTAAGGAGCAGGATTGGTGATTCTGAAGATCATACATACCCTGCCCATAGACTGCAAGACCGCTTGGGAAAACGAACTCAGAGTCCAGCCCGAAGGAGTCGTTTTAATTCAGGATCGTATACGATTTGGGTTTATACTTGTATTAAGGACCGCACTACCATTCGGGCTTTGATTGAGGAGCCAACACTATTTGGGGTTTATTCGAGATCTATAGACTAGGGATCCTGCAATAGTTGGGGTTTTTTCTTTCAAAGGATCCTAAACCATGTGGGGAAAATACTTTGGATGAGGATGCTATACTATCAATTATTTGGGAGGCTCGTACTAACTTGCGACACTTCCAAGTCATTGCCACATGCCATTGAAGGGGAGTCTTATACAGCTCGCTTGGCTGCCGAAGCAAAACAGAGCGGCATTCGCTTAATTACTCTAATACCCTAAAATGCATGAGATTAAGCCCTCTGTACTTTCAGGTGCAACGGTGCAACCCTTGATGAAGCAGCATTGGGCTCACTTGGTGAAGCCTGAAGGGCACCCCTCCACCCTCAACCCTCAACCTCAAACTCCAAGAAAGGAGCAATCCGAAGAACAACCCTTAGCCCTGAATTCGGTACAGGCCGGCTCAATCCGAAGAACTCCCCTAAACCCTAGACCCTGATCTCTAAATTGGTGCAATCTGGAGATCGCCGCCACTCTCTGCGCAACCCCAGGTCACCACGCGGCCATCTGCGCGGCGAGCGGCGATGGCCCGAGCTGAAGCAGTGAGAGTCTGGACCTTGGCTTGATGTGTTGAGGGGTTTACACTAGGGTTTCGGGTTTAGGGCCAGACTTACAAGGAACCGCTCTAAGCAAACACTGAAAAACAAGAATCTTCAGCATGCAACAACTGCTCTTGAGTCGAGAACCCTCACGGAAAACGGTGTCAGCATTTCTGGTCACCGGTCACCGTGATTGTCTGCGTACGGGCGGAGGTCTTTGCAACAGCGAAGTACATGAGCTGCTTTTGCTGAAAGAACTTCTACTGGTATATAGTTGGGTTCCAGCAGCGGTCACAGTACTTGTAGCCAGCAGTAGCACTAGTCCTATGACGATGGTGGTGGTGTCGGCGATGATGATGAAGATGAAGATGAAGATGAAGATGATGATGATGATGTTGATGTTGAGAACACTATTCTCATTACAGTCTCCGTCATTGTTTTGGGTCATGGTATCTCAGTTATCACTATTGTTTTTTGATTATTGTGACTGACTGCTGTTTCTGGTCGTCATAGACATTAGTAGGATCGCGCCTAGTAACCGTCGCCGCTGTTGCTGTGCCAGAGAAAGAAAGCTATATAGGTACTGTTGAGAAGAAGTGGCGTTGGTACAGGCGCACGGGTATGAGCAAGCACCGTTGAGGCGACTGTATTGCTGACGGTACAGGCGTCGCAGTCGGTAAGAGGAGCAAGATAGTCACGATCAGGCAGGCAAGAGTAGAAGGATCAACTGAAGCGACAGCACCGACGGCAAAGGCGATGCTGTAGAGCAATGCTGCAGACATGATGAATTCGATTCAAGCCACTTGCACCAGAAGCTCCTGCACTGCCGCGCTGTCACCACCATATGATGAATTGCCCCAGGTCACGACGGTACCATCTGCACGGAGGCCTGCAAAGGCACCAGCCGTGGCACAAACCTCACAGACGTCTTTGAGTTGGTCCTGTACTGAAGTGCAATCACCACCATATTCTGGTTCTCCCCACGTGACCACGGTTCCGTCTTCTTTGATTGCTGTGAAGGCGTGTGGTGTCGCATAGATCTTGCGAACTTGCAAGAGTCGCGCTTGAACAGCACTGCTGTCTCCACTGAATTTCGCCTCACCCCACGTGACCACGGTCCCATCATGTCGTCTTGCAGCAAAGGCTCCGGCGGAGGCGGTAATGTCCAAGACCTGCTCTAATCGGTGCTGGACATCAGCGCTGTTTCCTCCGTGCTTCGCATCACCCCAAGTCACAACGGTCCCATCCTCTCGCAAGGCAGCGAAGGACCGCGCCGCTGCTCGCACCTCACGAACTCCTGTTAAGCGGGCCTGAACCCTGGATATGTCAGCGCCACGAAACGGATCTCCCCAAGTAACCACAGCACCATCCTCACGAATCGCTGCAAAGGCACCCCGAGACGCCCTGATTGCACGGATATTCTTCAGCTCCGGCTTGCATGAAGTGCAGTCGCCGCCGATCTCAGGCAAGCCCCACGTGACCACGCTCCCATCACGCCGAAGCACCGCGAAAGCTCCATATGTGGTTGCAACCTCCTGCACGTCATACAGCTGCTCCCTCACCTCGGCTTAAGTAGAAGTTTAGGACTGAAAGGCTTCACAATTATAGCATATCACGGTATAGTTGCTAGCTAATATATGACATACACTATTGTACATTCTTCAATTTCAATGTATTAATATGACATGTGACATCGTCACAAAGCTGTCGGGGGGGGGGGAATCTTCAGCAGGAAGACGTTTACATGTTGCCGAAAATGGTTTGGGGTGCGGCTTCCCCCTTGCTAGGGTTGAGTGTTTCGAGTTGCTTCAGAGTAGTTCGAGCATCCTTGCCAGACATGATCCTACTATTGTCTGTGCCCCGGGGCTCTTTGCTTCCGGAAGACACCATTTCTCCCTTGCCGCTGAACTGTACCGGGAGCAACAAATACATGGACAACAGAATCTATGGAAGAGACGGGTTTCCCAAAGGTTTGGAGCTTTCAGCCAGTGCTTGCAGTTTCGGGGATTGGTTCACTGCGCCCTAGTAAGGATTTACGCATTTTGTGGTCTCCTTATAATTATGTTATGCTAGCGGATGTGCGAGCTGGCAGCGTGAAGCTGCATGCCGGCTGCTCTGGCGCAACGCTTTTATGTCAACTGGTCTCCACAAACTAACAGATATCGATGAAGCCAAGGTACCCCTGAAAAAGCTTCCATTCATCCACCACCTGCCAGAAACAATGATCTCCAAAACTCACCACGCCCTCTGCACTCACATATTGGTCCATCCCTGAGCCCAGTAGATATCCCCGAGCACCAGAAAAATCACAGCAGTAGCAAGCTACCTCTTCACAGTCTCCGCCGTAGCCCGCGTCGCCCCAGGCAGTTGCAGAGCCATTGAGCCCGAACGCAACAAACCTGGGTTTTGGGTAGTTTTGTAGCCAAAGCTCATGTCCATGGTTTGGGTTAGCTCTAAGGTCCCAGAGCAACGTAACATAGGAGCCTGACTAAGAGACCTTAAAACTTAGGTCTTTAGGGTTTAAGGTCTAGGGTTTAGGGTTTAAGGTTTAGGGTGCAAGGTTTAGGGATTAGGCTTTTTATATATGGGTAGTTCTCCAAAATAGGGTCCCTTGTTAGGTCACCAAAATAGTACGACACCCTGATAAAAAGGACCCTACAAGGGATCCTGCTTTAGAGAAGTACCCATATGGATCCTAATGTTCATAGAAGTTAGAGGTCCAAAGTTTGAAAATCGGGTTCCTACCTACCGGATGCGAAGCAGCTTGAACATATTTTGGCTGGACCCCAACGCCATGTAACAAATGATGTCAAAGATCAGTTTACTATAGACTGTGATGGCAAGAAAAGGGCTTATAGGGTTTAGCATTCAGGGGTTCAGGGTTCTTTAGGGCTTGGCAATTGGGAATGCCACATCTGTTCATTCTCGTTTTGTTTCGACGGCTCGGATCAAATCGAAGATATGGAGCTACTCAGTGACGCTACTGTCCATGGGTAAATGGAACCAGGACTGGGATGTCGCAGGACTGCAACCTCCAAGCTCAGAGACATCGGGGCCGCAGAATCCGTAGAATCTCTCCGGATCTAGGCAATGTGCCAAACCCCTGATCCTACAGCTCAAGACCTTAAAACCTCAAGACCCTAATGCTTGTATAAGCCGGAAGAACTCTGGACGACCCCATACTGACCCCATACGGCTATACACCATGTATGCTACCAATTCATTGTCACCGCGGTCATCACTGCTGTGAAACTTACTACCAAGTGTTACTGTTGTTGGTGAGAACTGCCACCCTCGCTCAGTTCGTTTGTCGTCAGTCTTACTACGACCGCCGTCTTTTTCCGCGCGGCTGCTAAAGAAGTGAGGCCTTCTGGTCCTTTCGCTGCTTATACTAAGCAGAAGACCTAAGCGCTTCTTGATATGGGTAGTTCTCTAAATTCGGGTCCGGTCCCCTTCAAGTGAACCCAGAAAAAGGCGGCACCCTTACAAAGAGGAACCCTAAAAAGGAACCTTAGTTCAGAGAAAAAAAAGGCCGGAATCCCGAAGCCCGAAATCCTGAACTCCGAAAACCTTTGATTGAGAAGAGAGGCCCCGAGTGACAACGTGTCAACTAGTGTAGAAGCCTTAAAAATTAGAATAGGATTTCGGGGTCTATCGCGCTATAGGTAAACTGGGCTTATAGGGGTTTGGGATAGAGTGATTAGAATAGGGCTTTGGCGCCGATTATATTATAACTACAATAAGGAATCTCCGAAATTCTATGGATATTCTTTAGACATTTTTATTATAGGAACAGATCATTACACTTTAATCGGTTGTTTCACCCGCTGAGCTCGAGAAGCGCATCGGCCAGACTGCTGAACGCCAAATTCCAGGCGCTGCCTGCAGCGAGAACGGCCACAACCAACCAATAACCACGGAAACGAAAATGGGCGGATACCGACAAACAAACAAATCAAATATATATATATATATATACACACACATACATACACACATACATACACACATATATATATATATGTGTGTGTGTATGTACATGTGTATGTATGTGCTATACATATATATATATATCATATTCTCCTAAGGTCAGATTTATGTAGACCCGAAACTGGGACTGAAAGCCCGAGTCTTAGAAGTTCGATCTTAAGTCCGAGTTAGAAGATCCGGAAGATTTGATACGAAGGGTATACGGCTCATAATTGGGCCTATACGCTTTAGGGTATATAGTTTCAGTGTTTTCTGAAGCCTCTTCTTTTCCTCCTGCCAAGTACTGTTCGTCGGAAAGCCTGTTAGACTGAGGCGTTGGGCCCGGGAACACTCTGCAGGGGTTCACCACTATCACCACCATACCTATACTGAAACTGCAAGCCCACTGTTCCCATAAACCCCTCAAAAGCATTGCCACGATAGCCGACACACAGTTCCAGAATGCCCCAATCATGTCACACAGTGCTATCGCACCACAACATGCATGGCACTATCATACAAGAGCCATCTGGGTTTATGGTTTAAGGTTTTCGGAGTTGAAGCTCGGCCGCTGTACAGTCTGACGTATTGTGATGGACTTCTATGTCCTGCAGCCCCTAAACGCTGGACCCTAGATAATCAAGCTAACCGTGAGCTGGAGCAGGGAGCATTCCGCCGGTGTTGTGGTATAGGAGCCTTACTATCATATAATATCTAAAAGAGGAACCCTATTTTATTGGTAACTCTTCCATAAGAGCCCGAATAGAGAGTGACGCGGTGATATTGATACAATAGTTGGAGCGCAAGCTATCAGTTTTCAGCGCAGCTAGCAGCTAGCAGCATACCAGTATACAGGCTGCAAGGGTTCCGGGTTCAGGAGATGCTTGGAGGTTTTGAGATGATCTGGGGGTCTCTAGAATTAAGGGGCCTTCAAAGGAAGAGCTCTCGGGATAGCTTGAATCGGTAGACCTTCTATCAGATTCTATCATATATCGGGTTTGCTTCAGTCCTCGACTTAAAGCCCCTCAGCCTACAGCCCCAGGGAAGGTTGTACATGAACCCACCGAACTAATGTAGGCCCCTATAGACCGATGCCCTAAACCCGGAACGAAGAAACTCAAGAAACCACATGATTGGTAAGAAAACTCAGCTTTCGAAAGGCTCCATCACAAAGAGTCTGATGAATGAGATGTTGCATATTTCACAAACGCGTAACCCTAGCCCTAAACCTAGCCTCATCAAGGGATACGGGGGTTTGTCAAATGCTCGGGTCTCTGACCATCAAACTGGGAGTGCGCCTGCACGAAGAAAGCCGCTGTAGCAAGATGCCACAAGGGTGGTCCGGGCCGTGGCGAAAACCTCCGACAAAGGGTCGTATATAGGGCTGCGAGCCTAAAATCCAAACTTTACTCATGAATTTCGAGAGTTTTTTATGGGAGTATGAGAGGCTTTAGGTTTAGAGGGCTGTTATTCAATCCTGAACCGCTTAGAGTCCACCTTAAGCCCAAATAACCTGCCTTTTTCAGGACATTTTTAAAGAAATCCTAATAAGGATCCCTAAAAAAGGTAGGTTTTTATAGCGTCCAGGCAGGGTTTAGGGGTTTAGGGGCTTCGGGATGCCAGGCTGGTGGTTCTTTGAGGCTCATTGAGAGGTGGCCCGAGCTTCATGCTTTGTTGCTTACCAAGAGGGTCCATATATACGGCGAGTATGGAATTAGGTCATTAGGTCCCCAAAACCACAATAGGGATGGTCGTTTGGGACCAAATTCCATAATGGTAGTGATATGGACCCTCTGGCTTAGTTTAAGTAGCAGACTTGCAACCCCAAACCCGCAAAATAAGAGTTTCTGAGCTCATGTTGAATACGCAAGAGTTCATGGCTTCTGTGTGAATATAAAACCAGTAGGTTCTTGCATCCGCAGAGACGCCTTAGATACAGGCCGTCACCATATCATACTAGTAGTATTCTGGAGTTGGCGGGTATATTGGACGACCGTACTGACGTACTAAGGCTTTTTTGCGCAGGCCTGTGCACCGACGCCACCTGAAACTCCAAAACATCTCAAACACCAACAACCCTAAATCCTGACATCGCAGACACGAACAGAAAGCCAATCCCCAAGAAAAGTATCTTGGGATCGAAGCGCCAACAAACTCGTACAGCCCTGATCACTGAAGTTACTAATCACCCGAACTTTGAGCCCCTTACTGTAACAGGCCCTTAAGCCCTGACGTTGACGCCTGCGTGCCCTGGCTGATCCCCGCCGTGGTTAGGAGGGCCGGTCCTGCACGGCAAACCGCCCTTGGACAAAGGGACAAGTAAGAGCTCGAGTGTAGGGTCTACAACGGTTTAGGAATTGCCTGGGCCGCAAAAAACCTACCTTTGTAGGTTAAAAGGTTTGGAGCCTTCCACATAGCGCAAAGGCAGCGCTGAAATGGTGAACGGGACGTAGTAAGGAATTTAGGCTCGGCAGTGTTTCATCTGAAGCCTCACTTGCTCACCTACTGTGAACCCTTGCTCCTGGAAGGCACTTGCCCGGGCTGTCAACGATGTTGGCGATGGGGGTGCCCAACTCCTCTTTGCTTGAATCTG